GTCTAACCGGACTATGTTTCCCATAAATCCTTATCGCGAGTCGGCTACAAACGAAAAACTAAGCTTGACTCAGTCATATGGCCTGTGTGTGTGTGGGGGGGGGGCATAGAGGGAGTGTGCGTCTGTGTGCTTGCCTATGTGTGTTGTAACAACCCTGGGTGTATCAGAGCGGCGCTGACTCATGCACTCTTGCTGATAAAGGATGAGCAAGCAGTTTTCCCGTCCTTACCAAATCCCACCCTCAGATCTGTTTGGTAAACCAACAGCTTTGTTTCCCCAGAAAATCCTTTTATACACGTACCTTGAGCGGACAATTCACAGATTAAGGGGCAGGCTGGGAAGCGAAGCTCGTGTTTAAACAGGATATTGTTTTCCGTGTGTATCTTTGGCTTGAAGGTTACCTGGAGTTACTCAACCATTTGCATACACAGTGAATTATGAGACGCGGTTGTTGTAGAAAAAACAAAGCGTAAAGACAAACACCTCTTGGTGAAAAAAAAGGGGAGGAGGGACTAATCTGACGGTTATTGTTTCCCAGCAGGTCCGTGTTGCTTCATATGCTGCAGTTTTTAAAAGCACCAAGTGTTTGTGTGAGCTCAGTGCAAATGCTTCTGTACCAGAGAGAGGCACAGAAAACCTTTGCTGGCAGGGGTACAGGAACGGAACAGTTGTCACAGCTGTGCCTATTGCATTGCATTTTATTTTCATTATTGAAGTTACATGGCTCTACTTTAAGCATCACCACACGCCTTGTGTTTTACACTCCACTCCTGTTGGGTGTTTTTATGAATGATTTTAAATCTACTTTTTACTAGTTTATGGTAGGCTTTATGTTTGGTGTAAAATACTCTGCACCCTTATTGTGATATGTCTTAGAGGAGGGTTTCTTAAGTTTTTTTCTTCAGTGCCCAATTCACTCACACACACACACACACACACACACACACACACACACACACACACACACACACACACACACACACACACACACAACAATTTCCATGAATCATTTGCAAAAAAAGAGAAGAAGATCCAGTCAGCAAAATGTTGTTTGGTTATTATCCCCCCCCCCAAAAAAAAATCACATTAGTTTCACTTCATATTTTTCACCCACTTGTCTGTGTTCCATCCTCCAGTGGTTCCACACGGCACCTGTTTGAGCACTGCTGCCCCATATAATTACACATTATCATTATTATGCATCAAACAGTATCTGAATAGCTAATATAATTATATGTGTCAGCAACTTTTACTGGCCAAGTATATACTGATGAAATTGCTGTGATAGGAGGTGAAAAGTCATAACGTCAGACAAATGGCGTGAATGTTACTGTAGACAATGGGTTTTCTGTAAAGAAAAGGGACAGCTTCAGTGAATGGAGGAGCTACAGCAGTGCAAAACTACAAAGTGCTGTTTCTAATATCACATGATTTGGAGAAACAGGGAAGCCTGTCAAGAGTCAAACCAGCCAATCAGGTGACAGTTTCATAACTCCAGAATGATCTAATCTTGACATAAAAAAAAAAACAATCTAGTTCCCTTTTCTTTGTAATCACTATGGACATAAAAACACACACATAACACTGGCTTGGAGAAATGAAAATAGGGAACTGATGCGAGTGTCAAAATAAAACACATTTTATTTGTATGAGGACAATAACCAACAGTTCGTCATGCTGTACATTTCCCTGTTTCTACTACATACACTACCTCAAAAAAAAGAAAAAAGAAAAAAAAGAAAATGTACAAGTCTTACAGTGTTGTGTTGCAGCATATACTGTGAAATACTTAGTCACCCATTATATTTCTGTTCTTCACAAATACTTATATTTTCCAGATGCCTGACAGTGTGTGAAACATTCATCCATGAGCTGGGTGTAGGAGAGAGGGAGAGGAGGTTAAACACTCCTTAAATAAAATACTTGGACCACATCGTACCACCTTTGGCTCCCTCAGCAGATCTCAGATAAAACATTTGAGTCTCTACCGGACCTAAGACAGATATCAGAGTCACAGCAACTGACTATGTATGGAAATATTGTATTTTTAGATTTTCCACTGGCAACCAGGAGGGTTATGCATAATCATATAGAGACAAAGCAGTACCCAGTTAACTGGCAGTGTGTAATAGCTTGGTGGAATCACTAAAACAACTTGATAACTGCATGTATGTGGTTCAAACAAATGACTCAGACATGAATAGAAACCACAGCTTTCTGTGTAATTAGCTGATTCACAGACTGTGACTGCGTAAAACGAGCACTAGCTGAGTATTTGTTCCTGGTTCCTGGCCCTAGTGTCAGCTTAGAGTCTGGTGGTCTTAGGTTCTGGCCGAGGTCACGAGGAGTCTTGCCTCGTTCGATTGTTAACGCAGAGCCTTTCCAGCTGCTTAGCACGCTCTTTATGGACTGTGACCAAGGTGCGGTTCTCCTCTGTCAGACGCCGAAACTCCTCCTCCAAATGGGCGATCTCCATGGCAACCTTCTCATCCTCCACCATTTCCGCCAGCAACTTGCGCCTAAATGGATGAATGGGAAAATGTTAACAGCCAGTTATTGACATCCAAGAATAAACTCGGTTTGAGGCAGGGAAATACCCAGGAAAGGTTCCCAGTTCATGGAAAAGTCAGATTTCTCAAATTCATGCAGATGAGCATTTTCGAGTACTCAGCTTTTTGGTTACTTGGGGGGGGGGGAGCCAAAATAAACACAGAAACAATGCAAACTCACAGGAAGGACCAAGAGGGGAAATCACTCACAGACCTGAAAAAATAACTAACATTTTTATGTGGAAGTAAATACTGTGTATTATTCACAACATTTTCCACATGTAGGAAAATATAGTTTGTTGATGACTGGTATAAATGCAGATAACAAAGTCTCTTGTGCGCTCCAAGGCTTATGTGCCACAGATCAAAGATCTATCTGTGCATAAGTACATTATTATTGGCTCCCTGAACAAAAAGACTTCATGGTCATGATGGCACTGAAATGGATTGAAATCAAAATAAATGTTTTAAAGATCACAGTTTATTAACTTAAACTTACAGTGTGTAAATTTTTTCACTGCTAAATGTCAGTAGGATTCAGATTGCAGTCATAATCCTAGCTATGTGGCTGGTTTAGGACAAACATGTTTTAATCAGCCAAGAAAGATGCAAAACATTAAATTTAGCCTGTACCTCATATCGGTAGTTCTCGGTAGATAGAGAAAAACTATCTGTGTAGATTGTCAGTCCACTGTTTACTTCAGCTGTCAATGCATCCACATTTATTTACACTGGAAAAGGCTGTAAAACTTTTTGAAAGGAATCCAATAGAGGTCAATGAGTCGGAGCTCATTGTTGACCATTCATACTGAGATGAGTTATTGCGGATATTTGAATTTTTCTGTCAGTAACACTGCTGTTTTTGCTAATGTTAGCCTCTGTTAGCCAATGTTAGTTGCTATTAGCCAGGACTGGTGAAACTGTCTTTGAAGTGGACGTAACTTTGTTGCACTCTGGGATTTAGTGAATAAATTCTCATACAATGTGAGAGTTTAATCAATTTGTTTATCAGTGGGAATGTGAGTTTTTTTTTAAAGATCCTAGCATTAGCTGGTATAATGTTAGCTTATAATCAGCTGTTGTTGTTGTTGTTTAGCCTGTTGTCAGCTGTCTAAGCTACTGACAATAAGTAATTGCGACAATATTGGGAATAAATAAGCATTTTTATGCATGTTTTTATGTGTTAGAGCCTTGACTTCAACTTGGGAGATTAGGCTGGAAGGAAGAGGTAGAAAGAGGATAATATTTCATTAAGAGGCCAGTGGTGTTGTCTCTGTCCTTTATGTCCTTTATGACAGAGACAACGGGGACTCCTCTGACAATAAAACATAGGTATAATGATTCATATCTTGAGTCTGAAGGTGCAAGCATGGATCAAATGTCCCTGCATGGCACACAAATGCCTTTGACTTCTCCTCTGCCTACTACGTATGTGGCCGGTCTCTAGCCACATATGTAAAACAGCACGAGCGGGAAGAGAGATGTCCTTTCCAGGCACTGTATTCAAATATGGTAGAGGAACATGGTGGCTACCACAAACCCGCTCCTATGTATTTTTAATAGATTTCTTTTAAATTTGGAGAATGCATCCGTTTATTGGAAGATGTAAATAAACTCTGTTCCATCCTTTGTATTCTATTAAATAACATAAAAAATACTGATGGCACCTCCGAGAGCTACTCTTTTCAATAAAACCTCATCCCTTTCTAATGTTTTCTTCAGGAGTAATGATGTATACAGAAAAAAAATCTTTCTCTGCCCACTGGAACGCTTATTCCAGTCCTTGTGGGCTCACAATAACCTCCTAAACCAAATATAAATACTATCCTCAATAAAGCTACCCGAACTGAAACACTGTAGAGCAGGTTTAGACGGCGTGATCTGACTTCCTTTGGCGAAAAAAAAACGAACAGCCTTTGGACTTTGAAAGACATTGTCAGCAGTACTGCATGGACATGCTATGTGTACAATGTGGTACTACATGTAACGCCCTGACATCTATGAATGTATGTGAGTGTTGTATTACAGCTACTATTAGGTTACAGAACAGCAACAAAAGAAAAAAAAAAGAAAAATGATATGTATTATCCACAACAGGTAGAGTGAGGAGTTTTAATGGGATAAAAGCATTAAGTGAGAAGCATACTTAACTGAGAGTAGTAGTGGACTTTAAATTGTTGAAATGCTGGTATTAGGGAAGCTCTGGTATACACTGAGGTCTTGGATCACACTCTAAAACAGGTCTGCACAATTTATTTCCTGAACAAAATGTGTGAGCCACAAACAAAGAAACTGGTTGAAAATATGATGCAAGTACGAAAGTATGCAAAGTATGATGAAAGCATGTACAGCCACACTCTTTTTTTTCAGTTCCTTAGACTAAATCAGACTGAAAATTGATCTGAATTAGTAAGCAAAACTTTTAGGATGCTTTGTTGCTTGAATAAAAAGAGCAAAGTGCTTATGGTTCCTGCAGTATTACAATATGATGTTTCACAAAGGCTTAATATCTCAATTGACCTGTCTGTATGGTAGTGTGTATGAACTAAAGCAATACTGTATGTGTGAACCGAGTTTGTATGTTGGGACATGAACGCTTTCTTACTGGGTAGTTTAATCTAAAATGTGAAGTACTTTTAAATCATGTGTAAGTGCTATACATACAAATAAACTTCCTATTATTAAAGCATCTGTTTGTTACTTTTGTGTACCAAAGTTTATAAAAATTGGGGGGGAGGGGGCGATATCTCACACACTGTCTGAGATATCGGCTATAAAACCAGTTTTGTCAGCTCCTCTATCTTGCATAATCTGCCATGTCACGATTTCATCACACGCAAAAAAAAAAAAAAAACAACAAAAAACCAAAGCCCCAATATTAGTCAAAGAACTTTTTGTAAACTCTTGTATTTCCCTTTGACCAACTTTGAACCTTTTTGTGTATCTTACTGGAATAAGGCTAAATCCACTGGCAACAAAAACACTGAACGTAGAGATGATCTAGAAACTGGAAGGTAAATGAAATATGAATTCCATCAAACTAGTGTGTACTTGTCTGAGAATGACTAAAAGGAGCCGTACGTTCTGGAAAATCCCTCCCCACTGTGTTAAAGCGTTGTTCCTGTAGTCATCCTTGCAAAACTTCACTGTATGTCTCAAGCCCTCCTCTTTCTGTGTGCACTTCCCCATAAAGGAAGTATTGTATGATGTATTTCTCTTAATGCTCAGAATAGAGAGTAAGCATATCCTCCTTTTGGTGAAAAAAACATTTCTATTAATGAGAAGTTTCAACATCAGGAAAATCTTATGCCGTAAACACAAAGTACTGACTTAATGTCAATGAAAGCTTTTAGCTTAATTTGCAATAGTTTTTAAAGCCGACATATACTGATTCTAAAACTTCTTCAATGACAGAACTCATGGGGGTGTTAATGTTAAAATTAAGCTTGATAAGTAGTGTTTGAATAAGTACTGTTGTTGTTTCAGGTTTAGATTTTGTTTTTTATGGATATGTTTGTGTAGTTTAGAAGATTGTGAAGGTTTAAGTGGAGCAGGCGTCCATGACTGTGGAGCTGAAGGAGTCCTGGCTAGTGCTCATGTTCAGGATTGTGGCTCATATGTTAAAAACCGGTTCTTCCTGTATGTGCATGTTGTATCTAACACATGAATGTAACCCAACATGAGATCTCTGTCTCTTAAAACACAATATGTAAATATAGTGTTTAAGTTCTTTTGGTTATCTAAACCAAACTAGATCATGTGGACTGACTTTCTGAGTTTGTTTCTAAAATTAGGGCTGGTTGTATAAAGTGTATTTAACTTAAAGAAGTATACAGGCTCATTTATTTTGGTGTATCGCTACTTTCATGTAACTTATTTACTGCAAACTCAAAATAAATTAGTATAACTTGCACCTCATTTTTTGCAGGTATTTATTTATTTTTGAGGACAACAGTGTGCACATTTTTAAAGTTAAGTCACCATATCAAATTTTATAGTATAGCATTACAAAGCAGATTGTCGTGTAGTATAAATGTGACCGTGAATGTCTCCGACTGCTAGCGTGAAGAAACAGGAGTTTCTACCAGCCTTACCCACCTCGTCTAGATTCAAGGCTAAGTCGGAGTCCGCATGCTGTTCTGTATTTAGGAACTGTGAAGTGGTTTCGGTTGTGTCAGTGCATGTCTGTGTGTGTATGTAGGTGTGGTGGTGGGGTAAGAGTAAGGCCCATGAAAATCCCACTGCTAAAACTACCCGCAGCTGCTGGGGACACAGGGTGCATTGTCAACTGCGTGCGTGTAACACATCCCCACTTTTATGCCAACATACAATGAGTTTGTGTATTAAAGCTTACAATAGTTCTTGTTCAATTAAACCTGACCAGAGCTGCACTTTATGTAATATCCTCCCAGTAGATGATTCTGAACTAATCAAAGAAACCTAGCACACTGTAATTTTCGCATGTGCTTGATGTTGTTTCTAACAAAATTAGAAAGGATTAAATTAAAAAACAAAAATGGAAATATACACCTGAAAGTCTTAAATTATCACCCTTTAAAACAACATGTTAAGAGAAATGCTCTCGATGGTTTCCATGCAAAATACTGTATACAGGCTATTAACTGTGCCATCTGGTGGACATGTTGATCCAAAATACTTTGCAGTTCTATTTTTAGTGAATGTAATGCTATAGTGGGAATTGAACTCCTAAATCTTTGGAGAGTTCGGAGAGATTTAAGCAATAATTCGACCTCAGTAGTACACGTCCTGGCACTCTAATTTGGAGTGAGATACGCTGCGCAAAGTCGAAGCTCCCTGTCACAAGGAGCTTCGACTTTGTATTTTAACATGGCTTAAAAGGGTTGCTGCGATTAACATGGAAGCGACTGTACTAGTGCCTTACTTGCGATCCTCGAGCACAGCAATCTCATTTTTGACCTGGTGGAACTCTCTTGCCATCCTGCAGTGTTCCTTGTACACCTGAACGCTCTCTCTCAGAGACACACAAGGAGGCACTGGCTGCAAAAGGTCAGAGAGAAATAAAAGATGTAAAGCATGCAACATGAGAGAGATGAAGTATTAGTTCTGAATCATATCAGAGTATGGTACGCCGTGTCCTTTACGGTTTCTTGGAATTTGAGCCGTCAGTTTTGTTGTTGGCTGTCTCAACAACAGTCCAAAAGAGTAAATCTGCTTTAAAATTATCATATCTGAGAAGAACATTTAGTTAGCAGCCAATTAGATTAATTTAATTCTTTCAGCTTGAGTAAATTAATTTTTTTATAACCACTAAAATCCTGTCTTAAATAAGGCAGAAGGTCCCACAAGTTATCCTTTTAATATGTGTATATTGTGTAAACAAGAAAACACTTTCCAAACTTTCCAAAGCCTCTTCTTTGTATGTAGTGTGTAATAATACACTGTCTGAAAGCTATATTTAATGGTCTGGTACCATTATCATTTGATACTCTTGTTGTTTTGGTACTCCACATACAATTTATGTGCCCCTGTCAATGATACTCGATGAAGGATAATTCAATGACAACACTAACCGTATGGGGAGGGCAAAGAGTGAATTGGGTTTTTGTTTTGTTTTTTCAATTTACAGAGGTTGATTACTACAACCCAGGTTGGTTCATATTTAAAGATTCAACTGCTTCCCTGACTACAATGGAGATTTGAAGGAAAATCCCAGCAGTATCCAATTTATTTGTAAGCAGCAATGTCCAATGTATGTTTTTTTCTTTTCAACTGTTGTTTATTTTCTATTCTATTTTTTTTTACATATTTTCTGATCTGCTTCTTTTACCTCAGTAAAAATGTTGTCGGAGAAATTGTGTAGTATTTATAGATGTAACTTTGTACAATATGGAGCAAATAACAATGACAACAGTGAGATTAAAGCAATTTAATGAAATGCACATGCAGTGCTATACATTCTTAGCTTTGTGAATTTTCTGCTGTATTCATCCTTTTGTGTGCTGTACTGCAAACAAATGCATCAGTACTGCTGTAGGATGCAGCATGGTGAACAGATACCTGTAGCCGCTGTTCAAGATCTGGGAAAGTCTGGGAGAGGTCCTCCACATCTTTTACATCTGTTGAGACATCTTTCATTTAGAATTAATTAGAGTAAAAATGTTACAATGTTGCGCAACATAATGTTGTAGCGTTACAAAATAATGTTACAATACATTTATAGCAAAAGAAAGCTTGTCACAGTGAAATTGTAGATTTTCAAATGATATAAAACTTATAACATTATACTACCTTTGCCACCTAGTAGAAGTATAGATCTACTAGAGTCTACTAGATGTAAACAGAAAACACTGTAAAGAAAACTGAAAAAACAAAAGAATTTAAATGATAAAAAACTGTTCAGAATAGCACAGAGGTTTTGTGTATTTTATTTAGTGCTAATTGCTGTATTAATGATGCATTAACATACTGTATACCACATGTAAATCTGAGATGGTGATACGAATTTACACTGCTTAGTATTCCAATATGTAAAATGCTTCTTCAGAGAAGTTATATGTTTAGCTGAAAATCCTAAAAATAAGTAACCGCGGTAACTGCAGATGTCAGATAATTTTAATTGCCCGAAACCTTACTACAACATTTTCACCTGAAATACACTGAAGTAAAAGTAAAAGTATGAATGAGCTCAACTTTGGTGTAATTTTGACCAAGATATGTCATTTGACTTTAAACAAATCTCTAGACCTGCCTTTATCCATGGAAAATATGATAAAATTAGAAATATTTTTGTCTCAGAGTGATGCTGAAAAACTAAAACGTATACCCTACTTTTAGGCTTAACTACCTGTTATCTGGCTGTTCTAAAACCTCAATGAAAAGCCTTCGGTTGAGCCTGTAAAATCCTGTTGAAATCCCTGAATGATGACGTATCGTCATATCTTCAGTGTCTCACTGTACTGTGTTACTTTGCTCTCAGAATGAAGGCTTACTTTATGTTCCTAGAGTTTCTAAAAGTAGAATGGGAGTCAGAGCCTTCAGCTATCAAGCTATCAGGACTCTCCTGTGGAACCAGCTCCCAGTGTGGGTTCAGGAGACAGACACCCTCTCTGCTTTTACGATTACACTTTTCTTGTCTGCTGTCTCCCATAGTTTGCATTTTGTTCTGCAGTTGTTCATGATTCCTCACCGTTCCTGTTTTCTATCTTTTCTTCCCCCTCATCTCCAGCTGTTCACAGCAGGACCAGCCCGGTTCTCTCAGAAGTCTCTTCCTGTTACTGATCACTGTCACCCAGTGCTGATTTCCTTCCTTCTGATGCTCATATATATCAGGTCCTATCATAATTCATCTACAGAAGCTTGGAATTTGCACAAAACTAATAATTTTCCAACAACTGCAAAATCAAGAACTGTATGAACTTTCTAAATGATCAAACCTTGAAGACAAACAATGCACGGTTTATCATTTCACCTGCTGTTGGTGAAGGACAGTCTGAAGCACAAGGCCTCTCTTAAAAAAAAAAAGAAAGTGTGAATGAAAACTTGTAATCTTAAACTCTGCATGGTAACATTAATGGCTAAATTTAGTGCCAGTAAAGTAAGAAATGTGTCAATATTATTATTGTTATTGCTTTTTTAGTTATAACTTTTTAGAACTTTTCCCATAAAAAGACAGATAACAGTGTTTTCCTTGGATGCGCCACTTGTTCTACAGGCTTTCCTCCGGCTCATAAAATGGCCAAAATTGAAACACTATATGGGTCTCTTGTATGACACCACAACATAGCAACATAGTGCTGCACTTATAAATGAGCCACGTCCTCTTACTGAACAGGAGTAATGAGATGTCAGGTTGAAAGACAGGCAGGATAAGAATACAGAGGGACATCTATGTGGCAGGCAGACAAACAAAGTAAGCAGGGCAAACAAAGTAAGCAGAACAAACAGACCACATGTATAGACAGCGAGTGGTTTAGATAAATAGGAAGCCAGACAGAAACAGACAGGTTGTCTGCCCCAGCTTCTGCCCTGATAGTAATGCCCCCCTGGAGTTGTGGAACACATGTGGAGAATCCCAGGATGATGCAACCTTCTAAAAGCAGGAGAATTAGACGGCCTGCCAAAAACCATGGGGGCAATTATGATGTGGAATAAATACAGTTCTCATGCTTAGAATTGACACAGTGTGGGGTTATAACTATGCCAGGCATGAAGCCATGAAAGGCCTAGGGGATGATCCCCAAACAGAGCACAGCTCTTAGCCCCCTTGCTGAGAAACATGAGTTCAAAGACACAACAACATGATTGCCAAGGGAAGATCCAAAGTTGGACTTTGGAGGTTTAGAGTCTGAGCAGCTCCAGAGCTACACCTACGTACAGCAAAGACCTCTGTGACCATTCATCCATCCATCCATATATGTTATCCTCATAATATCCTCATGAGACCATCCTATTCATTTATGTCCTCTGTAATAAACAATTGTTTTTGGTCTATATCTTTTGACTTATTTGAGCTATCCTAATAAGATGGACTAAATAGAGGACACTCTGGTCTTTCCATTGATATCTCATGCATTTGGGTGGCCTCTTTTAGCTCCATAGAGAAAGGAAATCACAAAAAACATTCAATGGGAAGATTCATTTTTCCTCAGTTATCAGGTGGATATGAATGATAATAGATATTGATATAGTATAATGAAAAAAATGATAATTCAGGAAGAGACACTGAATTACAAGCAGATGATCATGAGACGATCGGTCTCTGTTGAAAGACATATTTGAGTATCTGCTTTCTTCTGTGGCCTCATCTTGTTTCCTAAGAGAAAGACAAGGGATTGGGGGGGGATCAGAGGGTGGAGCTGGACTGGAACTGTTAACTGCTTATAAATTTAGACCAGTGTTCTAAAAGCTGAACAGTGAATCAGGCAGCGGGACACTGTTAGTATTAGAGAGGAAACCCGACTCTGGCATTGCATAGTTGCAGCTGCTGTCCCAGTGCCTGGCCCCACTGCAGTAAAATATCCTGACAGACAGCACCTAGAACCATAGGTAGTGTAGGTGTTTGTATGTGTGTGTTACTTAGGGACAAAGACAACTGTTTATGTTTGTACTAATAAATGATGGAATATTATACGGACTATCAGCTGACTTGTATATGTTTGCGCATGCAGATGCATGCAAGCACACAGCTGCACATACACAAACGCGTGTGATTTTTTCTTTCTTTAATATGCTATGGTCATACAGAAATAGAGAGAGCACCTGTCTCAGTTACAGTGTAGAAGAATGAAGACAGTTAAAGTCACAGGGTGTGCGGGTTGTATCATTCACATGTTCCCCACATACTGGAAATGCAGTGAAAGTTGAACCTCGGGATTTATTTGGTGTTGAATGCTATATGCGTAACTATCCTCAAAATAATGTGTTAACTTCATTTTCGGATACTGCAACACAGATTTGTGGGTGTGTCATTCGATAGCTGGCGTTGTGCTTGTTAAATTTAACAGTTACATAAAAAAATACAAAGTAAACATTTACATCTGTTTACAGTTACCGTGAGATAAATGTAGACTGATTACATTTATTAATTCAATTTTTTGTGATTACACAGGTGCAGTAATCCAAGTACTTGTAGAATTTAACATGTTACCATTACTTTGCAGTTTTTCGGCTGTGCGAGGATTCCTTCCAGAAAATGAAATAGCAAAGCTATCGTAGCTAGGCTGACAGACAGGCTTACATTTTGACAATTTTTCATTTGGCCTTTTCTATGAAAATTTGCTTTCCAAGTCAGGGTCATGGGGGAGGTGGAGCCTATTCCACCAGTAACTGGGCTAGAGGTGCTTTAAATCCTGGGCAGGTTGCCAGGCCATCACAAGGCTAACACAGGTAGTCACATTCACAACATTAAACCTAGCAAGCATGTCTTAGGACTATGGAGGGAAGCTGGAGAGAACCTACTTGCCTACTTCACACAGCAGGCTGCTAGTCTCTAAACCAGGACCTTCTTGGTGAAATGAAACAGTGCTAACTGTTGCACCAAACTGCTACTAATCTCCACCTGCCAATCAAATAAATCCTAAATGGTCTAAACAACCTGCCAGTGCTATACCCGAAGCATTTGAACATATTTGTGCATTTGCTATGATTAGAGTGATGTAAATTTCCTTAGCTTATAGTACTCCTCATAGTACTCAGTAATGCACGTGGAGGGCACATCCACAGTTAGTGCCCTTGTAATGTAGTGTTGGACTGAGGTCTGTACAATGACAACAAAATGCCATAACACTGGCATACTCTCCAGAATCAATACCCACTATGCACTGCTGAGCCACAATTCCTGCCATTTTCTGTGTCATCTGCATTGATCATTTTAGAGAGCAGAGACAGAGGTGCTCACAGACTTGTGCTCGAGGTTACACGTTACAAGCTCATAAAAACTGGAAGGCACGCAACCACCTCAAAACAATGAAAATGCACACACACTGGAAGTACTGATGTGCACCAGAAACTATAAGATCATCATAAAACTGTGTTATTTTACCTTGTGGATACATAGCTTTGGACAATGTGATATATATTTGTTCTTATGCTGCTTTTTAGTGTGTTTTAAGCTCTTGGGAGAAACATACAGCACTATCAATCTATAACAGATTCACACTTTTGTCTATACATGAAGTCAGCATTTTTTAGAGTAAGGGTGGTAAAGGTAAGGTTTGATTTGACAGCTGTATAACTCACATTTAACCATCCCTGATGGAATAGCACCTGCACAGGCCCACATGCACACCATCTGTGGCAAACCTGAGGAAACACCTAGACTACAGCCTACAGCATCTGAAAGTTATTTCTGTTTTCTCACAAATTAAAATAATTTGTTATAAAAAATAAAGTGACTGTTAAATTATTGAAATGATTAAAAAGATTGCTTACATTGACAACAGAAGTTATCGGTAACGTGTTATCATTTTTAAAGTAACTTTCCAAATTCAGTGAACTAAGCATAATATGAGTGTGCACCCACAGTATGTATTTGTGTGTGTTTACCTGAGTTGTCATCAAGGCTGAAGGCAATTCTAACTTCAGATTTATCAGGAGACACTCTTCTGGTTGAGGTGATCATTTATCCCTTTGTAAGGTCACAGGCACACAACAAAGCTGTTAACACAAGCCAAATGACCCCATGAGAGACAAGTGATGATGCTACAATGACACAGTTAGTTAATCAGCTAATAAGAAATAAAGAAATCCGAATAGACTGTTAATAAATTCAGAGATTCTAACTGAAAGTAGTTTCCAGCTTCATGAATGTAGCAGTTTCCATCTTTTCAATGTTTTATGATGTGAAATTTGCATTTTCTTGATTTTAAATGTCTCCTTCTGTCTAAGAAATTCAAAGGCATAATTTTTTTAACTGTTTCCACATCTCAGCTTATTCAGCAGATCAGCAGATTAATCGGTAGTAAGACCAGGAATGTAGAACTAGAAATTTTCTATCTGCCATGGAACGCACAAACTCTTTTTTATCCCAGCATATTAATGTGATTTTACCTCACCAGAGAAACTAAACACTGAACTCAGCAGGTGTACAGCAAACCCTTTGATATTAAAACCACTACAAAGGAGCCCTATCAGAGCACACACACACACACGCACATTCAGGCACACAGCCGTCGGTTTCATCATGCATTTGGAGTAGCTGTGGGATTAAATAATTTGGGAGCTTTGACAGACTGGCTCTGAGGTCTGGATTTTGCATTCCGCTTTCCAGTGAATGTACAGGCTTTTTATAACAGTGCGTTTGCCTGCTTTAACCCTGGTACACTCACTGTCTCAGCCAACACACCTCAGTGACCTTCTACTGCAAAGAAACATTCTTTCAGACCATATAATGCGTCCTTCTGTAGGGAAACAGAAGGTCCGATTTTGGCGACAGATCAACACAGGTGATGCATCTAAATGCAACCGTATTATACGTTATATAATCAAAACTGTGATGGAGACTATAGGATATTCCATAAATATGCACCTCTTCTGCACGCACCCAATAGTTGAAATGCACCGTCTGTGCCAACAAGTCATTATTACCTGAAGCAGCAAGAATTCGACGCAGAAAAGTCAGTGTTAAAGTTTTAAATCAGGTAGCAGTGTGAGTCCTCAACACCGATTCGGTCCGCTTCCCGTGAGGTCAATGTTGAGGTCTCTTCAGAAGAAAGGCGTCTCAGCCGTCAATCCGCAAATCCCAGCAAAGATGGCACCACTGTCTCTTCGAGAGCTTACCTCCGCTATCTTGAGACTATAACTCTATTATTTTGTAATTATCAAAGTTTACGTTTTCCAGCACGTAGCCAAGGCGTCAATACATTAGTGACAGTCAGAGGGACTCCAGCAGCTCATGTTTGCGCAGGCATGTGCATGTTATCCACAGAGCCACGCAGCGAAGAGCAACACAGGGCGCAGGCAGAGGAGGAATGCCGTCCGCTGTCCCCCTGTGGCGGCCCGGGCCCAATTAAAAGTCTCAGATGACATGACTTTAGCCCGCAAAAATGCCCATAGCTGCGGCACTGCTATGAGTGACACGGTCACACCGCTCGGATGGTGTTGGGCTTTGCAATAGCTGTGCAGTGAGGCAGTTGTTCAGAACGAGCATCTCGTGTTATGATAGCTCATGTGGACGACAAAACAGGGCATCCTTGTGTGTTTATATTTTGATTTATGGGGTTGCAGTAGCCTCCAGCTCAAACCTAAAAGGGTTAGGTGATACACTGTTTAGGTGTTTTGTATACTGGTAGTGGATAAGGGTTAAGTTAATATTACATTGTGCTTTAGAATGATATATGCTTTTTTTTATTGTATTAGATACAAATTAAAAGTTGGGGTTTCATCATCCCATCGTTGTCAGAGAATAAAAGGGAAAACTGTGTATCTAGAAATATCTGTGCTGTGACCCAGTAGCATAGGGACCATTTAAAAGCCAAAAAGCCATTTAGACATAGAGAGTATTTACCGGAGAACCAATTTTTAATGAAGCTTTCAAATGTAAAATGCTTTACTGAAAATGCATAAAGAGGGGTCCTAAATCGGACGCTAACTATAAATCCCAGCATATTTATAATATGCGCCAGATAAAGCTTGAGTCTGCAAAGTCTATTTAAGAAAAAAAAAAAATAACTGAACGTCCCGTGTAAGAACTGCAGAGGTTTTCAAAAGTTTTCAGTTTTTTATTCACAAGCCCAGTTCCCCTGCACACCAGCAGATGGCAGCATTCACTCTGAATTTTTGCAGCCAGGACTTCACATAGCAGGAGAGAAAGGCAGGCGCAGGGAGGGAGAAACAGAAGGGGATAGATAAATAATGCTCTGCGCCTCTAAGAGTCCTCCTCCCTCTCGTTTGTCTTCATTGACAGGAAGGTTGACAGAGATGTGCCTTATCAGCCCCAGAGACTGTTCATTACATTGTGATGGATGGGACGCACTCAAATGTCTGTGCCTCTTTTATTCCGCAGTCATTATTTAGATTTGGGCCTTCTGTACTTGCATGTACAGTTAAGAGCTTTATATTGTAATACATGGACAAAGTCTGACAGGTCTGAAGGACTTAAATTGGTGAGAAACAAACTTTTCTTCAGAAATGTGATGAAATCAAATCTAAACTTTGTCCTGCTGAGTTTTTCCTGTTCTTTGTTAAAGACTCTTAAAACCACCTTAGAGAAAGTGCATTCTACTTCTCCATTTTGGCACTGAATGGAAAACAGCAGGCTCTGTAATTTACCTTTTTTTTAATTTGTTTTCTGAAGGCTTTCTGACAGCTTTCTTCTTCCCCCACAACTTCAAACTTACTGACAGCAAAAACAGACAGACGCCACAATCCCTTCATATCTCCACATCTCTCTTTCACTTCCCCAGGTTGAGAGCTCTGTGCTTTGAGATCATTGCGACGAAGAGTTTAAGCCTGAGACAACAGAGCATTAGTCAGGTGAGGTCATCCTGGCTTAGCAATAACGGTCAGTTTAGCAGCATGCCAAGGTTGGAGTTGTAATCCATGGCCTCATTCGTGATGGATTAGATAATGATAAAAAAAAATACTGCCTTTGGTTTTGATTAAGAATTATGGGGTTAGGAGATTAGGGGCAACCAAACGCTACGTTGGACTGAGCCCAATCCCAGAATTAATCTGAATACCAAAAAAGAGAAAACTCATTACATGAAGAGATTAAGAAACGCTTGGTTGAATTCTCTCAAGATACACACAAACCAGCATACAGAGTCTACAGAGAGAAACGACAGCACAAAACCTCTGACTCCAACAATTTATAAGCTATTAACAGCATTTAGTGCTCTGTCCTGTTTGAAATGTCATTGCATTAGCTGCTAAGATCAGGGAAGTGAAGGTCAGTTTTGAATGTCCTGACATTATCAAGACTTAAACTTTAAGATGATCCATTAACAGTTTGTCTTAGTTTCTGTCCCCTTGGAATTGCTTCCTTACTATCATTTGGTTTGTAATATTCTGGAGTTAACTCTAAAACCGATTGCAGTAATGTTTATACAATAACTGAAAGAAAGGAACAGTAGATGGCTTCAGGCACAAAGGTGGACAGAGCACACACCCAGCTAGAGTTCAGGGCAGGTGAGCGGAAAGCCTCAAATGGTAAAAGGAGGACACAGTCATGAAAAGTACACAGGTTGGGTAAGAGCTGGTTATTCAGTCTTTGATCTTAAAAAAAAGTCCAAGAGGACAGGAACAAAAGTTGATATGGGGAAGCTTTGACTGTAATGTGGGGACTGACCAAAAGGAGAATGAGAGTTGGATTTGTCAGTAAAGACTTTGTTGTCACATATGTTAATCAGTGCTGTGCCGGGGTATCCGTTTGATGTGTGTCAAGTGTCAAAGTTGGTATCCTTCACCGTGTCCTTAGGAGTAGAGTTCCAGCAGGGGTGCGTGAATTAGTTAGTAATGCTGAGAGATAATACTGCTGAGGCTCCTAAGAACATTTTCATCAGCATAATCCTCACCTGTCAGTTGAGACATCTCTCTTGTTTGAGTAAGAGAGGGGAATAAAGACATACTGAATGTGTACAGTAGTCAAACAATATTAAATTTAAATGAAGCTGTCATAAGCCTCCATCCCTAAAACCAAGCTTTTATAAAGAATACTAATGGGAATATTCTGTATTTCCAAAATATAGGCTTTTATTAATTTTATGGTTCAGTCTGAGGCTTGGTGCTGTAAATTCTAAATCTGCTGATGGGTCTACTGCAGCGTGTATGTCAAGCTTAAAATGTACTTAAATGTAACAAATCTCATTGTGGCATGCAAACATCCACTGGGATCTACTGTCACTCCTGGAAGACACGATTTCTCCTCACATTGTCAAATTTGACAAATACACGCTGAAAAAAGGAGGCTTATTGAAAAACAAGACTGTTACTCTCAAGGGAAGGAAAAAACTGTGTTTGTCTTTGACCTCCTTACAGCTTACAGCATTATAAAACGTCCTTTTCACTTTGTCCTTCCATTCTCCCTGTATTATATTCTTTTTTCTGATCCATCTCCGGGATGACATCATGATCACAGGTGTTTGTAAGGAGTCTGTGTGTGTGTCTGTGTGTCAGGATTGATGTTTGAGATGCTGGTACTGGAAGGCTATAAAACAGCAGGTGTGTTTGTGTCTTTCCTTAGAGGTCATTATCTCTTTTCGCAGGTCAGCGTTGGCTCAGCAATCCTCCCTGAAGCTACTTCAGTGTGTGCCTACAAGAAACGCACACACACTGCTGCCAGCAAGAAACGAGAGCAAGAAATCATTTAAAACCATTTAAAAAAATGCAAAAGTCTTTTTATTGTTAAAATCAGTGAATTTTTGTCATTAAACGATGGGAGGTTCTATAAAGTCTGCAGATTCAACTCTGCGGACGCCTTAACCCAAACTACAGCCATGAGGGAACATCGATGGTTTACGCTATGACAGGGATTTCATTCTTGCGGTCATCACCTGTTTTAACATTATTAATGTTGATACAAGGCTAAAGTGTTGTCAACTACATTTACGGTACAGTATTTAATGCGTTATCCATACACAAGCAGTCTACAGGTGCTCAGGAAATAACGTCATAGCTGCTGGTGGCCCACACAAAAAAATAAGAGAACTGTAAAATGATCAGATACCAGTCTCTGCATTTCTATTTCTTTTCTGATTCAAAGCTTAAGTGTTGGAATCTCGTCTCGCTCCCTCCCTCTTTGAAGTACGTTTGGGTTGACAGAAGATGCAAGCGGACCTCGCGCCGCCGTGAGGTCGTGACCTCCTCCGGATGCCTTTGTAACACTGCAGGGAGATCCCCAAGTCTTCCATCACGGCGCTAAAAGACACACACTGCCAGAGAGATAAACAATTAAAGGCCGGAGTTAAGACACCAAAATAAACTGATTTCCAGTAGATACATGCTACTAGGAGTTTGGGTGAAGATGAATTAGAGAACTGGTTTGAGTCAGATGACCAGGAATGGGAAAACTCACATATATTGTAAATTTTCTCTGAAAGAGTTGTGAAACATTTATAAACTCTGTTGTCTCATCATGAAAACCAATTACTGACAGAGATAAAGCACAGTGTCTGCTGTGCATTCTATTGCAGAGAGCTATGGATTTAAAGTATGGTAATCATTTGAAATTATAAAAAAGAAGGCCATCTGAAATGAAAAGCCTCAGGCTTATCTGAATCTGTAGAACAGTACATTGCATTGAACACATTAATCTTCAATCGCAGTTATTTGCCTTTTATTTTGCCCTACTCTGGATGACGTGCTCATGAAATCATAATTCACAGCAGAAAGTCATCCAGTTTTTATCTGCTGAGCTTTACAACATAGAAGAAAACCTTCCTGTTCCATCCTTGGGCTTCGGGCTTCTTGATCTAGTATGGGTTTCCTATGAATACCAGAAAAAACTTCTTCTTTTTTGACCTGAACAACTGACAATTCAAGTTTTTTGGTGACTAGTTGTAAAAACAAAATCGTACCTGATTACAACAACAACAACAAAAAGTTATATTTACTTTACTTGTGAAAACACCAATTTATCACTGGATATGCATACATCAAATACAATGTTCATTCTTGTATAATTTAAGTATCTTATCAATTTACTAAGTAGGTTATAGGATATGCACTTGTTGCATGCACCGACTGTATGCCCTGTAACAGTAGTAAAGTTATTAATTCACAGTAGTAGTTAATATTTGCTTTATCTGACTGAATATTGCATTCACTCTCATACTGCCTTTCAGAGAAGAAAAGGAACATAAGGTCAGTCCAGGGATAAAGTGAAAATTATTTTCCTCTGCAATACCATCCATCATTTCCTCGCTGAGAATTCTCTGCAGTAATATAAGTTATTAATGAAAGGACGACTTTACTTCTGGCCCCGGATTTGTGTCAAGGGACATCTTAACTCAACACATTGTTCAGTCACTGCTATCCTAACCTCAGCCAACCAAACCAGTCTACTAATGAGCTTAATGAGGAGGAAATATTCAAATAAGTTTTCCTATCTTTTGATTTCCCAAAAGGCATTGAGAGTATACACAAAAGTCTACTGAGACTACACTGCCAAAAGAAAGGTTACTTAACCAGAGTGAAGAAAACATCAGTAGGGGAGACCGGGGATAGTTGTAACATTTTTGACATTTCTGTCTGTAAATTGGAGCTCTTTTAAGGTAGTGGATTCAAAATGTAATGCAAAGTATTTACATGTCTCTGCTATTAAATAGTGCAGCTATTTTCTCTGCAGCACAATTACTCATTACATGGTATGGTCTCAAACACAAAGAGTGAAATGTTACAATTAACCCCATAGTCTGGGTTAGTTGTAACATATCCTGGGGTGAAATGTAACGCAATGAAATAAGGATACTGACAAAATCTTAACATGTAATCTTTGTTATTCAACACCTGAATGCACTTAGAGCCATTTATGTAGCTATGTGTGTGTGACAGAATGCAGAAATCTAGCTTTTCCAACCCCTAAAACAAATTATGGAATTTTCAACAACTGAATATTTCATTAATTTTGGTTGGTCTTCCTTGAGTTTGGCCTCATTGGCTCAGTGGGCCTAACCTACAACTCTTGCACCAACTTTTGAACATAACAATGAAGCTGAAAAAATGTAGTTGTGCACCAGTATCGCAATTCCATCGCAATGTCCATGGGAAGAAATACTTTTTTTCATGGCCTTGGTGTGGTTTGCATAGTGCTTCAGAAAGATGAGGAAATCTGTTTCTCGCACCCATCCTGATTTATTTCCACTACCAATACTTCCTACTGCCCATCTCTGACAAAGTGGTCTGCATAACGTATGTGTGGGAGCACAAACATTGGAGGAATTGTGTTGCCAATGTCATTAACCGCATATACAAAGGTGACCAGTGAACCTCTCTCTGCTGATGTCATTGCCCCAACTTGTTTAATATAAGTTAAAGTAATAGTGTGGTAAGTTGTAACATTTGCATTATTGTTACAACTAACCCAGACTTTTGCTTTTGCAAATGACCCAGACTCCTATAGCCATGAACTAGCTAACATTACAGCCAACGGCTAAAACATTAGCACTAAAGACCTACACAGAATATATCCCCATAGACATACAAATAACATGATTTAGGTTTGATGAGTTTAACTGCAAAGCAGATAATGCTATTAAACATTGAAATAAAGTTTTAAAAAAAATTACTATTTATCTTCTTAGATTGTCTGTGTTTGCCAAAATGTGCTAATTTTTCACATGTGATAGAAGAACTGAATTGGGCATGTACAGGATGAATCACATCATTTGAAACTTGGCCCTGATGGGAGAAATTGGAAGTCTTACAACTGACCCACGTTACAACTATCCCCAGTCTCCCCTATAGTGCCACACTTAATGCACATTGTAAAACTAGTTGCTATAATTTAAAGCTATATTGAATTTTTAGGATTTTTAGACTCCACATTACCAAAAATGTGCAACTATTTTGAGTGCTTTCTGGAACGGAGGCTGTATTTTAAGGCTCTAATCATTAATTTGCTCCTTACAGATAAGAAACAGCATACAAATGAGAGGGGAGGGCAAGTCATCACGGAGACACGCCAGCACGATGCCACCTCTGCACAGAAACCACTTGCAAGTACTGTAAACCCAACTACTGAAATTGTACTGTTAAGTTTCAAGAGAACTATATAATTTTATTAAGCTCTGCGTGAGGGAGGGTGGTGGGAGCACTTTGGAAATAAACAAGCACTTTGCAGGTACACGCTGAAGGAAAAAAGGGTCAACTATAGAAATGATTAAGGATTAGGTGACGCTGAAGGTTGAAGGTTTAGCTATGCTGGCATATTTTGGGAACAGTGGCAGGGAGAAGGACACCCGGTTACAAACCTATCAATAAGAGTGAGCATGTGTTGTATTTGTGTTGTCATGGCTACTCAGTGTCATCGCCCAGTAGCCTGCCACTCTCTAGATCTGTAGATAAGGAAGTGCCAGAGGAGGAGGTGGAGCCACGGCGCTGAAACTGACGAGACTGCACCCCATAAAAGAAACAAAATGCCTGATGCAAAGAAAAAAAAGGGATGGATGAGAAAAGATAACACAGAAAAACTTGAAAAAAAAAATTCTGATAATAAATAACAATATGGAAACAACATGAAAGAAAGAAAAATAAGGCAGACTGAAAACATGAATCATGCGCATGGCATTGTTGATCTTTCATGATATAATACTGCCTTTGTTACGTGTGAAATGGTATGCTTTTCTTGAGAAATATATTTGTTACCTCCAAAAAGAAGATTAAAATCATGTGAACTGAAGGATAATCCAGTACTGATATTTGTAGTATATAAAAAAAAACACCCCACACAGACCTTTGTGTTTTATTTGACTACAATTTCTAGTTGTATCAAAACCTAGCATTCACTGTGTCAAAGCAATAAGTCACAAATCATTCTAATGACTGTCTAGCCAAGACACCAGCAGCAATTGCAAATTTTAATTTGAGTAATATCACTCAGATGAGCCATTGATTTCAACAAAAAAACATAACTTCCAACACGCAGAATGAGGAATGAACAAAATTTTGCTCGTTGTCAGTGCATACTTCCAGACGTTAATCACTTCTGCTTTTAAACGATCTACAGAAAAACTAGGTCTCTTCTAAAAAAAGAAAAGAAAAAAAACCCCAACCCTCTACTCAGAGCAAAATGTAACCTTTAATCTGGTCATTTCGCATCATCACACAGCAGTTTATAGCATCACTTCACTTACCTCCTCTATGTCGGCGTTCCTGCGGGCCTTGTAGATGAACTCTCCAATGGCCACGAACACAGAGAGAACCAGACCGGCAGCCAGGACAATGAAGATACCGCCAATGTTTTCCACGCCTAAGGCATTGGCTTCCTTGTTGTCCTCTTCTGGACAGCCGTTTCCTCTCCACCACTTCTCTTTCATCATGTGCAGCTTCCCTTCCTCCTGGAGCTGAAGGATGGCAATGGTCACTTTATCCCTGTAAGGAGAACCTGGTGAGAGGGAGGGTAGAAAAAAGTTTTTAAAGTCAATCTTTACAGTTTACATCACTACATTTATATGCCACTATTTGCTCATTATTATTTGTTGACGAATACCATTATCTAGCATTAAATATCCATGCTATTAAATTGGATATAAATATTTATTGTGTTTTTCTGAAGTAGTATTTTTTTTCAGAAACAGCAACAGTCCCCAGAACTGGAGCCTTACTTTTATGCGACATAAGACTCAGTCATAACCTTGCAGACATAACATGCAAAAAAAATATGTCACATGCAAGTCAAAACATGTCCTGCATGTGCTTCGTCTGCCCTTTTAAAAAAATCATTCCTATGTGATGGGGAGGGCACATTCTCATGTTAAAGCAGAATTTATCTGAGTGATCTAAGTCTGTAATACTAAGTGATGAAGATTATTTTCCACCTGATTCACCATAATTTGATTAGCAGAACAGGAATAATAATAACAATTAGCTGCAACTCCACCCACATGCATGTGAACATGATGGCAGTCACCACTTGCATGAGACTCTGCACATTTTTATTTTATTTTCCTACGCGTTTGAGATGACAAGAAACTAAAAATTCTAAAAACTAAACACTGCCAATATCTTTCTTTCTCCAGCCACTAAATTTGGAAGGTATTTTTTGCGTGCGAGAACAATGTGTCACACCTTTTGGCCTGTGAGAAGTGCTGCAAAAGAGTTGTGTTTAGTTTGCGAAGAAAGAAGGAACATGGCTACAGGCTGCACACAAGATTTCCCAGAATAACTATTTTGTCTGTACTACATTGGGCTTTTCAGGTTGACCAGCTCTGGAAGATGTTAAGGAGACTTTTTTCCTTGTTTGTCCTTTCTGTTGTTGTTTTGCCTTGTTGGAGCTTACATTGCAGTATACAGAGTTTTGTACATTTTTATTGAGTAAAACTAGTCGACAGTCTTTGATATATCCACACACGCGTGTGGCCAATAAACGCTATATATATATATATATATATATATATACCTTATATATATATATATATATACCTTATATATATATATATATATATAAGGTTTAAGAATTCTTAAACAGTATTAAGAACTCTTACACCCTATAATCACTATTTCCTGTTATTTTCTGCATCCCCCCTATTTTCCTACTATACTTCCACACTCATACACAACTTTCACTCCATCAGAGCCTATTGATCAATTGAGAAAAGTGCTGAATGGACTTGTTAGCACAGCTACCTCTGCTCTGAGGGATTTAACCTAAAGCAGTGAGCCGCTCATCTGTGTTTATCTCTTAAGGATGTCTTTAACCTAAACCTGACCATGTACTGAGTCCCCATGCTCTGAAAAAAACATCCTACCAAACACACTAAACCACTACTCTCCACTACAACAGCAAAAAAGTATTTAGAGAGACTGGTCCTGGTCTGGCCTTCCTAGATAATGCTTTGTCATTTCTCTTGCTTTTACCACTCTATGCACATCTCATTTTTGTGCTTTTTTGGCCAGCAAGGAAGTAAAACTGAATTCAGAGAAATAATAGGTCAACATCAAACTGGACTGGATTAGAAAAATCCTGTACAAGAACAGTTAATGCCAACTTAACTACCCAGGGAGGCTTTCTGTTTATTGGCCCTCTCTGTCATACTATGCTACAGATGCTCCTCCATTCTGTGGTGGCCTTTAATATTTTCAACAATGCAGAATGTTTTCTACAGGAGCAGCAGGGTGAAAATTAACAGGCTTGTCAGGTTGGCTTGCTGTTATCAAATAAGCCTGAATCTCTGACGGAGGGTTTCAAACCTACATCAGTTGCAATACCTTTGCATCTTGATAAGAGAAGAGAAGAAAGAGAGATATATATTAAGTATTGCTTGAGTAAACATCCAACAGTCCTGACATCAAGTGCAGAGGTTGACCTGCTTCCAGTTCAAATTCTAACAAACTGGCCTAAAGCCTTACAGCTGGCAGAGCTTTCTGATGGAAGGGTATTTGCATTTTGAGGATAAAGGGTCGCTGCTCTGCACTTGAACTCCTGAGAAAAATATGCAAATTCCTAATGAAATAAAAATTTCTATCTCTCATGCAAAACATTCATTTACAGACGTTTCTATAAAAAATATTTTCAAGTAAAATAAGACCACCAGGATCTTTTAATCAGAATTTAATTTGTTGTGCTTGAAGATATGCAGTAATTGTCTATGGCTTGCTTTAATTGATATATTTATTTAATAAGAAATGAGTCTTGCTGCAGTGAAATATGTCAAACACAAGGAGTTCTCAATTCAAAATATGTGACTCTACATGACTTTTTTCTTTACTTTTTCAGGGGCTTTTCATTCGGAGCTAGGTGACAAAGATGATGTTGAGGCATAAACATCTTTCTTGTTCATCCTACCAATAGGTGTTCCTACTCCATAGCCCTTGGAGTCTATGAGACCCCCAATCTGTGTGAGGTTGCAGTTCCTCTGGCTGATGTACTCGATGCTGGTGGACTCCATCAGCATGGCGTAGTCTGTTGTCAAGACGCGGGTGATACCTTCTCTGTTGTTCTTAACCAAAGCGGTGTTCTTCCTGCTGCTCATAAAGGCCCACATCTTTTCATAAGTGGAGATCTTTGATTTCTAAGGAGCAAAGCAGCCAAAAGTTAATAAGAAGTGTACAGTGTTTAAAATAGACTTTGTGCGTTCATGTCTACACAAGCGCAGTTATATGTGCTTAACTGGATTTCAACGCTTCCATAAATGCATACAAGTTTAACAAGCAAGCTGTGTGGGACTGTGTTTCAGCGGGAGTCTCAGTCGATGTGTGTGAGTGTGTGTTTCGCTTTGCTCAGTCAGAGAAAATGGGACAGCTGTGTTCTAAATCTCCTCCAGCTGATTCAATTTGTTCAAGCCATCAACACAGCCTGCTTCTTCCTATCGAGGCAGCCATAATCACTGGCTGCAATCTGGGAGGATAAAGCCGTGCATGGATCACCCCTGCTGAGCCACAGGAGGCACAGAGCGAGGGTAGCTGTGAGGCAAGGAAGTGACAGCCCACCCAAGGACACTAGTACACTAATGCATTATATAATAGGAACTCACAAATTACCGTATACTTCAACACAGACACTCCCAAATTCTCGATATGCATCTTCTCCATTTCCCATCATACAATCCTTCTTGATGGATTCACATCACCAGCCATGAAAGAATTTATTTATTTATTTTTATTTATTTTCATTATAACAGAATTTTGGCAAAAATGCAGGATGATACAGGAAGGAAAGGAAATTATATGATTTTAAGAAGTATCTGTTCCCGTGAATTATGTTGAGAAACTGTAATAAACTCATTTTGACAAAGGTAAATTACAAATTTAGTGTTGAGGCACTAAGGCTATGCCCAATGGCTGATGTTAATTTTGGTTGGTACTGTGACTCCTGAGTTATGTATTTAAATATATTAAAACCTCATAGTTTTAAGAAAGATGAAATATTGCTATGGATGTTATTGCTATGGGGTGAACTGTCACCCCATAGCAATAACATCCTGGGTTTGAATCCACCAACCAGCTGACGATCTTCTCTGGGGATTCTTGCCTCCTCCCACAATCTACAGACATGCTCATTAGGATAACTGGCAATAGATACGAATGGTTCTTTGTCTCCCTGTGATTAACCAACAGTGACCTGTCCTGGGTATATCCTGCTTTTTGCACAGTTGGTATAGCCTGCTGCCCGCATGTAACCCCGAATTGGAGAGAAATGGAAAAAAATAAATGGATGGACAAACAGCCTTTTGCAAGCACTTAGTTTTACTGAAAGATAACAAAACATTTTCTTAAAGGATGCAAAAATCAAATATCTATGGTTTGCATTCAGTGTGAAAAATCACTTTCCTCTCCAGCAGCATTACCACATATTCAGTTCGTCACCATGGAAAACATATAGCTTAATATAAACATAAAGAGAGAGAAAAGCCCTTGAAAGACAGATTATATAATGTAATACGTATTGCGTCACATATTTCTAAAAGCCTCATACTAGACACTACAGCAGGTTTACCTTGAAAAAAGTCATAGTGGATCCATCCCTAACTGCACCATATTCAATCCTGGTCTGCTTTGCCAGGTCATCTGCTGAGTCGATGGGTGCGTCCATTCGTTCCACTGTGAGGAAGGCTGCCAAGTTGGCCGTATAGGATGAGATGATGATCAAGGTAAAAAACCACCAGATGCCACCAACTATACGTGTGGATAGAGCTTTAGGCATCAACTCTGAGCCTGGAAGCACGGAAAACAGAACCAAGGGGTTAAGAACGAGCACATGTGGTAAAGGTTTAAGAAAGGGAGAGTGAGAAACATGTTGATAATGCAGGAATCTATTTGTTAATATCAGAATAGTGAAACTAGAATAATAATAGGTGTTGTTTGCATGTTTAAAAGATGGGAGAAACCGATTTACATTGTTCTTAATCGCAATATTTTTTCTTAATCCTAATTGTGAGATTCACAGTAAATACAATGGTACACTTTAGAAGATCTGACAAAGGAAAGCTGAAAGTAAAGAAAATGTAGCAGCACATGTAAAAAGTAATGAAGGGCAACACCTAAGCACCAAAATAAGCAAAGTGCTTTATATTTTTATTTGAAGGAAATTGGGGAAAACATATTCAGATAACTGGAGAATACATTTGCCACTTTTAGGGTTTGAGGTTTGGATTCATCTGTGCTCATTTTTTTATTCACTCTGAGTGAAAAGAATCCCTAAATGTGCTTCTAGAGAAGAACCCACAGCATCAAAAAGCTCATATGCAGAATACAGTGCATATGCAGCTTACAGTGCGGAGAGTATAAAACCTGCCTGAGCTTGTTTTTTGATAAATGCTGAAAGGGAATCAGTGCAGCAGGAGACATGTAATTAAAGCTTTATCGGCAATCTGATTTACAGATAAGAAAATAAACCAACATTGAAATTTGCACGAATCCAAAATGAGCCCCACTTGCTCATCTCTTCATTTTCTGCCTTTCTAAAGAGCTAACAAATTACACACATAGCTTACTGATAGTTACACTTGGCTTGCACTCGGTTGATATTGTCAGTAGGTTTGCTGACCACTCAATCAGGCACGTCAGACTTTGCCTGCCCAAATCTCCTGCCTTTAGAGAGATAAAGTCTCTATGATGTGCAACATAATTCTTATAATAGGGTTTGGATGCAATTCATGTGAACTGGAGCCAGGATACATGGAAAGGGCATTCAAAGAAAATAGGAGGAAAATATTGATGTTTGGCATTAAACAGCTCACAGCCGAGCCAATGTGCAGGGTTTTCATTTACTGTAGCTCTGCAGTAAGACCCCAGTTTTTTCTGCTTCTATTAGTAAAGTTTTAACTTTTTAAACAATAGCATTTTTGGTTTGTGTGTGTTTGTGTCCTAACCTGATAAATTTAAATCAAACATTTAACTGATGTTTCTTGTTATGTTCACCATCGTTGTGCTAACTGTCTGTCTGCTGTGTGCTGCTGGGTACATAGTGTACAAAGAGTGAGATCAAATCTGTCTGAGCTGAAAACCATATTTTAAAAAAGAATTTAAGAAGGCACAAATATTTTTAGGTTATTATTTTTTGGGGGGAAAACAAAGCCACTGCAGAACTACCAAAAACTGCAGTGAAGGTTGTTTCCAAAGTGAGTCAATGATTATAGAGCCCCAAATGAATAATATCCAGGTGGCCTCCGATTTGATCTGACTGCAGGGACACACTAATCGTATAAAAATTTTAAAGCACACACATGTTGGTAAATGCACGTTTTGCCAGGTGTCTGAACAGAAACACGTTCTTCATGATTGTCAAAGACACCGTACATACCAAAGCATTTTGTTAATTTGACAGTCAACATACAATTTCATCAACCGACTATATAAAAATCAGAGTTTACTTTGCCGCATCAGCGCTCCAACTCCAAACCAGAAACTGTTGAGTAAAGTGAAATTGTTCTGAATTAGAGTCGAGGACGGGTTGCACGGGTGTGGGTTGTACCACTCGTAAGGAGTAAACCTGCAAGACAACGACAGAAAGGAAGCGAGATTAAAAGAAGTATGGAACCAGTGTGCTGCAGGTAATCATAATTCAGTCATGCAGTTCACATTAAAACAGGCTTCCATTAGTGCTTCAGTGCAATCTGCACTTTCACAGAATGCAAAACATGCGTTTTGAGTCTCACATTTTCATTGTCACTTACAGGTTGCAAGGTGCAACCAGCTGGCAGATTTCTTTTTCGTACCACCGTAGAAAAAGGTGGAGAGTTTGCAATTACTCCCAGCTACTTAACAGCCACAATCAAATCCACTCTGGCAGCTGATGGCTAAAAGCACACTCTCCGTTATTTCTGAGTAGCAGAAATTTGCTAAAATATAGCCGAGCCAAAACATCACAGCTGATTTGTGATTCTTGTCAGGCTCGCCCACTTTTTATTGTTCTAAAAAGCTCTGTGGTGGCATTCCTTAGTAACCAAAGAAGAGTGTGGCAGAGCTGAGCTGGGGCTTTGGACAGTTCATCACACCTCAGCTCGTCCCCTCAAGCATCAGTGCATCCTCTCACCTGGCAATCACAAAGAGGACGCAGCTGACCCCTGTGCAGGCCAGCAGCACGTACATCCAGATGTCCGGAGACAGGGGATTAAGAAATGAGAACACGCCTGGATTGGTGCCGTTAGGTTTCCGGTACAAGATACTGATGCCTAAGGTCATGAAGGGCTTGGAGAAGTCGATAACTTTCTCTCTGACATAGGTGATGGTTAAGGGAGCCACGGCAAGGTCTGCAACCTAAAAAACACCAAACAAAAGTAACTCACTGCAGGTAAAGTGAGCACTGTTCAAGGGCTCTCATCGGTGCATCAGTATTCACATGATGAATACACCTCGTTAAAAGATTTTCTTTACTTGAGAAAACTGTTAGAAAGCAATGTAATATTTATTTATAGCTCATAACTCTGGTCAGATAGCTTTGTTTTTGTTAGAAGCCTTGTTAATATAGTCAGAGGGAGCATTGATTTTTATCAAAGAAAGAAGCTTGTACTGGTCTTTAAACAAGGCCTGCAAACAGGCTTGAATGAAATCTGTGAATTCAACCGTGGAAAACGTTACTCTACTTTATTTCCCAATTTAATTTGAGGGGTTTACACTTTATCTAGTAACTCACATGGTCGATCAGCTCCCGGACCATCCCGTTCCACTCTCCTTTATCATTCTGGGCTCCATATTTCCCATCAGCCACCAGTCTGACTTCATACGTAAAACCCAAGATGTTTGAGAGCTCCTTCAAAAGGTCCAGACAGTAGCCTTCGTAGCGATCATTCCCAACCAGCTCCTTGTCTGACTTTCTCAACATCACGTAAGGATTTTCCTGTGTAAAACAAAACAATGTATTTATCTTTTTATGGTATATTCTTTATTCTGACCCTTTTTTATGCTTAGTATCCTAAATGAACTAGCTTTGTTATTTTAGCTTGAAGATCCTTTGCATGAGCACGTGCAAATTATTTTATGGACGGGATTAATAAAGAATCGGCTTCGCTCTGTGCTGACAAAACGAGACAAAAACTGTGCAGCCACATCTCCTAAACACCACTTTCCGTCTTTGTATCCTTCTCCTTTTTCATTGCATTCCCATCTATTGTTCCCCCTATCTACATTAACCATATCTCACATGTGCTTCCCTTCTTCTTTCTATGCTGTCCTCTGTTTAACCTTCCTACTCACCAGTATTGTGGTGACAATGAGAGTCCTGTTAGCCAGAGAGTCTGTCACATTGTTATTCTTGTCTCGCCTGGACTCCTCCGTCAGGTTCATCCCCCTGTACGAGTTCCACACAGCAATCTGCAAAAGCAAACAGGGCTTCAGAATTATTGAACCACATTTGCTCCTTTGATCAAACACAGGATGTTACATTTGACACCTTCTGGAGTCTCTGTGTAAGACTGTTTTGCAGCGTATAGACCTTTACTTCTGTTTAAGCTTTAAACAACGCTGCGTTTTTATGATCACCTGTGCAGGAAAATAAGCTGACTGATTACTCCACTTATTTCAGAAAAATAAAGAGTAACGAAGTTGATTTAATCTCCAGATCTTAATGGGAAAATAGAACTTGCTCTGACACACCGCATATTAATCATATTTTCTGATTCGCCGAACAGAAAAATGAAAAAGAAGTATAAAGGTTTAAAGACCTGACACTGCCTCCTTTTCAACTTTCTGCTTCATTCAATATTCTACAGCCTTTCCCTTTGCTGAGCTTTGCTCTGATGATTTTGGGCAAAGAGCTAAAAAATGTAATTTTATATACAGCAAATATGAAACTGGAGGAGCAGTTTGGACCAAACAGATTTTGAGTACAACAATTTCATTATGACAATTATTGGATCAGTTAGCACTCGTATTTGAGTAGCATCCAGTGATGTGCAAAAGTCTTGAGCCACCCCTCATTTCTTTGTATTTTGCAACCTAGATGCTTGACTTTTGAGCAGTTTTTTATAAAAGGTGGTCTTGAGGAATAGTTCTCCAGGCTTTCTGAGGGTCTTTTAAAGTTTCTTTGGACATTGGCTGCTTTTTCACTCATTTTCAGTGCAGTCCCTGTACCGGACTGTTTTTAGATAAATTATTTTTGTTGTTGGTTTATCCACTTAACACTGACCTATAAATCATTCAAACATTAAAAATGACACCTAACTCAAGGGATGAACCAGTGTTGTGCATACACATAGCATACATATGAGCAAAGAACCCATTTTAAATTATATCTTTAGACGCCATCAGCTTGTTGCAAAAACATACCATTTGTTTCCATTTCTTATGTTTAGCTACAAAAATGCTAAAGATAACACAGTTTGAAAGATATAAAATAGTATTTTTCCAACAACTTGATTCTCAAAAAGCTATCAGATGAAAAAGGAGAAGACAAAAGAAGATGTGGCAGACCGAGGAGCTTTCCACAGAAGATGAGCATTATTTCTTCCCTTAAATAATAGGAAAAGAAATCCAGCTAAGACCTGACACAGGACCTGAGAGATCCATCTGGGTCCCCATTTGATCCATATACTGTTCATTTTCCAGCATGACAATGATTCATGCTGAGAGATGAAGCCATGCCGTAAAATCAAAACTGGATAGAAAAACACACAATGGAGCACTATCGGTTATGGATTGGCCTCCCCAGAGCTCGGACCTCAACATTATTAAAGCAGTGTGGGATCATGTTGACAGAGAACAGAATAAAGTGCAGCATCCAAGGAACTCTGAATATCTATAATGGAGCCTGGAGAACTATTCCTTAAGACTACTTCAAAAAATTACAGCGCTTTCCTAAGAGAGTTCAGGCTGCGTGTTGAAGAATAAAGGTGGTCGTATCAAGAATTGATTTTTAAGTTTGGGAGAACTATAAAAACGCTGGTCCTGTTTTATTTCCATGTTTGAACATGTTTCAATACAAAGAACATAAAGGAATGTGGGATGGATCAAGACCTTTGCACAGTACTGAATATGTTACTGAAATACTTCCTTTACTTTAACCTGAAATAACTGCTGCTGACAGCAAAAGGGAAGCCCAGTTTAAATATATAAATATATAATACTGAATAGTAGAACTACAGTGCAAACGTGTTACAACAATACCATCCAGTAACTGCTAAACAATTTATTTTTCTCCATGTTGTCATTTTAACAATGAGCTGAAACAATTAGTTGACTAGCAGCGTGACAAAAAAGTCATTTTTAATTAAAATGAACAATTATGCTTCATCTCAGATAAAAAAACAAAAACAATAAGAATTGTTGGGATTTTTTTTTTGTCTTTTTTATTTATGTGATCATGAAATTAAATGATGAAAAGCATTACATGAAAAGACATCTGAGGATATTACGCTGGGCTTTGGGAAATTATTTTTGCATTGATTTGGATTTATTACATTTCTGACCATTTTTTTCTAATAACTACAAAAAAATAATATCAAAAACCAAACATTAATTTTAAAAAAATTCAGTTAGTAAACTTAAATAAGTAGTGGAGAAAGGGAAATTACACCAGCAGTCAAGAGAAAAAGAAGGGTAGATAGGGTTGGGAGGAAGAGAGGACAACATGGTAACTGTGAATGAGATTGTCTTAATCATCAGACCAGGCGGCATAATCCAGACAGTTATCAGATTACAACAGATGTCTGGCAGCTGGATTTTTTTTAACCTTTCAACTCCCTTTGCTTTAACAAAGGTCATGACAGGTCTGGAATGAAGCTAAGAACATTAAATTATTAGGCCTTATTGTTAATAGAACTAAAGTAAGTGCCAGATAAGCTTTTCTCCTCTGGCGAGTCATTCTGTGAACAAAAATGTGCCTTTTAGTATTTTTATTCAGAAACAATGCCCTCTCCATTCATTCACTGCCTAAGAGGATGAAGAGAAGTGAACGCATCAGTACCTCTCATTAAACTGAGCTCTGCAGAAGGTACAGTCTTATTTTTACAATTTATTTTTCTGAAAATGGCTGGGTGGGATTACCTATTCCAAAAGATGAAATGCTTTTCACTCTTCATTACACTCTGTCTTATTCTGTTAACCAAGTCCGACTGATGGAAAATGTGTTCACTTATAACCTCGCTAAAAGCACTCCATATCTCCACCGAGTTACTTTTTGCAAGGGACCATAAATCTGTCTTATCTGTGGACACTGCAGATGAGGAACACTGTGAGTGGGGATGGATTGAATTAATTGCATTGTCCTCAATCTCAAAGATAATTTGTCAGAGTGAGAATATTAAAGATGTGGAGAGTATTTTGGTCTAAAATTGTTTGGTCTTGCATCATTTAGCTTGCGTTACATGCTGTTGTAGAGGGCTGCTTCTCCTCTGTCGAATATCAACAGTATGATTGCACAGTTTGAAGTTTAGGTAAAAGAGCAATCGAGCCAAGTCAATGAAATTAATCCTAAAATATAGCCTAGGACATCCGTACCGCATGCAGCCAGCATCTTTAAAACCCCCGAGTCATGGATTTTCTGTGTATAGCCTTGCAATTTTATCGTGTACACCAGAGGAGCTCCCAACAACTAAGTGTGCTATAAAAACTGACATGAATTGGCTCATATATGCTGTGAGGAAAATGTTATCTGTGAATCCTAACGCTCATCCTCATCCAGAACCAAATCAGAGTGGAAAACCGTTACCACAGACTTAGTAAGCCAGGCCAAGAAAGCTGAGGAGAAAAAAATATATATTTTCAGGAAGTCAACAACTTTAAAAAAAAATACTTTTTTTTCCTCAAGAGACTTTCACTTTGTTTTGTCTCATCATCCTCTTCAGAGTGTATTTAACACTCCAGTGCCCAAGAACTAACACAACTGCAACGGACTGATAATTCATTTTTTATTACCATAAAGCCAGGCAATTTATGTGATGTGCTTACTATATAGTGGCATTTCCTCTGAGGTGAGGCTTTTGAGGACTGAAGGTATTGAATGGAATTAAAATTACAAATAAATCAGAGCTTTTGCAAATTGACACTTCCTGCCTGCCTACATACCTGTCTGACAACTGAGACAGACGCAGGTGCTATGAATGAATCGAACATTCGCTCTTTCAATCATCAAAGCATTGCTTTTGCATAATTGCTGTTAAAATTTAATTTAATTTAAACTAGAAAGGAATCTGAATGGAGTTATGAAGTTGATTTGTTGTATGATCAGTGCACCGGAGGGTGTTATAACTCTGCTCTTTGTGCCAATCAAAGGCCAGGAAAGTAAATCTACTCCTTTTATAGATTTAAAGTTTTTAAACTTGCGATGAGGTGTTGCTTATGCTTATCAGATTCTTTTTGGTACAAATAAATCTAAAGGTATTTGGACAATGGCACATTTTGTGTTTTCGCCTCTGTAGAGCACCACAGTGGAGTGCAGACTTTGAGCTTCAATTCAAGAAGTTTAACCAAAGTATTGCATTAGCTGTTTAGGAATTACAGCCATTTTTATACATTGTGTCCCATGTTCAGAAACTGAAACCTAATTGGACAAATGACAACCCAGTCTCATGACCAGGTGAGGTCTGTTCCCTCATTGTTCCATGACAAGTTAAAAATCTAGAGTTGATTCAAAGTGCTTCACTTGTATTTGGTAACTGATCACTTGAACTCTCAATATGAGGTCCAAAGATGTGTTAATGCAAGTGAAGTGAAGGAGTCCATCATTTGGCTGAAAAAACATTGCAAACATAGCAAAAACTTAACGAGTGGTCAAATTAACAACCTGGTATATTCTTAAAAAGAAGGCACTGACAAGCTACACCAAAAGCCCCGAAAGACCACCAAAGACTACTAAAGTGGATCATAGCATAAATCTTTCCAAGATTAAGAAAAATCCCTTCACAACATCAAACCAAGTCAAAAACACCCTAAAGGGTGGTAGGTATAACATTACATACACGGGCTTTACAAAAAGGTGCAAACCATCTATGACACTCAAGAGCAAGACGACCAGATTAGGCTTTGCAAGAAAACATCTAAAGGGGCCTGCACAGCTGTGAAACAAATTATTTGGACAAATAAAACAAAGATGTATTTATACCAGAATGATGGGAAGAGAAAAATAGCTTCCCGCTACTGCCAAGTGCTTGCTCATAGGGGATGATATAATTATTGGCATTTCTTTCGTTTAAATATTGTAGGGTCTTTACAATATAAAGCTCCTTGAGCAGCTGCTGTTGTGAATTGGGCCTATAGAAATAAAGCTGAATTGAATTCTAGATTTTAGGCAATTGTTGATTGCAAATGATTTTCATCCAGATGTTAGAAACAACCTTTATATTTACAGTTATGTTGGTTTGTTCAATTATATTTAATCTTTCTAAAATGAAGGGACTATGTATAAAAACAGTTTTAATCACTAAATTTTTAATTCAATATTTTTGTTAAACCTCTTGAATTAAAGCTTAAAGTTTGCACTTTGAATATGTGATTTAGAGTCCTCTTTAGTGGTGTTCAGAAGAAAAATTTCAGTAAATATCATTTTTCAAAAACATGTGGCCATTATTGAGTGTAACCTGCATGATTTCCATTAAAGTACGTATGAAGGCAATCTAATAGCGAAGCAAATTATAGCTTAGTAGCTGACAGAGAGCTATTTTTATATATTTGCTTACGTCTTTCCTGCCATTAAAGAATGTGAAATTGCAGCACTTACTTCCTAATCCTAATGGAGGTACAGCTATATGCATTTAAACAAAGTAAATTTGTACTTTTTTTCCTGAAAGTTTTGACAAGTGTCAAAGCAATGCCTGCACCCAAACAGGGGAAAAACTGAAACGTCAAACACATGGCATTGCTGCACACAAAATCAGTGAAGAGAGACAAAGTTGACAAGGCAGGGAGCAGCAAGGTGCACGGCATGTAGAGTGAGAGTAGGGCAAACAAGAAGAGGGGGCAAACAACAAAGGCTTCCACCAAACAAGGCACTGGCACAAACCTCGATCCACCTTTTCGTGAGGCGGCTTCCGCCCTCCACAACACCCTTCAGGAATTGTGATGAGAGCAACGTGATGCACAGACAGCGTGGAAATTAATAATCAGTTAGTGCAGCATTATTAATATTCATGGCTGGACAATCTAAAACAGCTAGTAAGTGTGTTTTAAAAGGATTTAAGTAAAGAAAACTAAATGACTAATCAGCTCTCGCTCTCGCTCTGTCTCTCATATACACAAACACAAACACATGCCCTAATGGAACGAATAAGCCAGTGCAAAAGCAGCATGAGAGCGTTGTAATTGGCTGTTCCAGGCCTCTGTGCTCACCCTGGCAATGCCGTCCTCTTTGAGGCTGATGATGTCCAAATCAAAGTCTCTCCTCAGGCCATCTGTCTTGTTAAGAACAATGTGCCCTGTCAGTCCATCCCACTGTGCCTACAAAAAGGGGAGAGAGAGAGATTTACGGAGAATTGGAAGACCATCTGAGTTCCTCGTCTATCCAGACCTTTGGAAGTCGGACTCTAGAACAGGCTGCTTGCAGGAGAAGTGAAGGAGGTCCATGCAAGAAGAGAGGAAGCTTGAAGGCTCACGGGATCACAACAAGTGAAGATCAACAGGTTGTATAGTCTCAATACGCATGAAAGCTTTTGTTTAAAATAGCCAAAGCAATTATATGCATAAATTTTTTTTCTCGCTTAATCAAATAAAACCAAAAATATAATACCTTTTTCTGAATATACTTCCTATTGGATGATTCCCTTTGCTTTGCATGTATACCATTCTTTTCTTGTTTGTCCTGATTATTGACAGACTGTGATGGAGGTACATCTGGCACCTCTTTTTTATTAGAGAAGAGAACAAATATAAACCCTACAGCTATAGCACTTCAAATTGAAATGTTAATGGACTGTTCCTTTTTATTTCACAAACATTAAAAATAATTGCACCACATGCAACCATATAATGTGTCGCCTTTTTAGGAACTGTCTGCGAGTCTGTCTTGCAGATCACGTCAAGTGCTGAGATATTTTTAGGGCTGTCTATTAGGAACAACAGGTTTATGATCTACCCACAGATTTGTTCAATCATGGGACTGTAAGAACTGCTCCAAAAGCTTCAGCTTGTGTTTCTAGCAGTAGTTGATGGCGGAGTCTGAGGTCTGTGTTAGATCATTGTCCTGTCAGACAGCCTTGTTTTCATTTCACTTTCTTCACCGACTACACATTTGCATCCAGAATTTACTCAGATTTAGTGGAATCCCTTCTTCCCTCTATCTCTGCACTGTTTCCTGTGCCTCAGGCTGCCTCACAACCCCAAAGCATAATATTTTTGTCCTTCTGACAAATTCTTCTCCCCTTTGTTTTTTCACAAACCTACTTTTGTTGATTGTGGCCAAAGAGCTCACTTTTAACTCCATCTGTCGAAAGCATTTGTCTGCAAAACCACCCCGGCTTACATACGATTTTGTGACATTCTGTGGCAACAGTCATCCCCTGACTTTTGCCGTTTCTAATCTGTCTGCAGATTTCATGCACATTTAACAAAAAACTCTTTTTTAACATCTGTTTGGGGCCAAAATCCACAAAATGTGCATTTTTCTCTGATCTACCCAAACCTTTGCTCTAACTGCATACTAAAAATACAAACTAAGTTAAAGTAAGTTCACTCCACCTTTTACTTATTTATAATGAGAAAAACTGAATACAATCTTTTGATGCATGCCAGAAGTGTAATTTGCTAGCATCATTCAAAGAAATTCAACAAAAAACACACAACTGTAGAAACGGACATGTCTAAAACATTTAAAGTGTGCAATGTGGCTCTTTGTTCTGTGTTTCCTGATTAAAGCTGACTAAGAAAAAAAGTGTTCAGACATGTCAAATAGAAATATGCTCATTTGATCCACAGAAACACACACAATAGCCAGAGGAGAGTGATAACATTTGGGTTAAAGTGCCCAGGATTTGATTTCTGTCACTGAAATAAAAGCTGTGTCCTCATATTCTGTGCTCTCTTGTCAGCAGTGCTTTTTAATTGAGTGTAGTGAGAGAAATATCACTATGGGATTTTTCCCCCCGAAAAGGCTATTATCAAGTGATGAATAGCACATGAGGACAGATGCTTCAAAAAATGAGCAGTGGAAAACAAAATGAAAAGCTGAAGAGGAGAGCCACTAAGATGCTGGGGAAAAAAGAAAAGATAAAGAAAAAGTGTGAGAGAAGGAAGACGGGGGGCATGAAGAGGAAAATATGAGTGAGGCGCCTGAATGATAATGTTCCTTCTCCGTGGCAGGCAACGGTCCTCTGCTGGATTTAAGACTTAAGAGATCAAAACACTCGTGCATCAAAGGCCTCATTTCTGTCTGTAGGCATCAAGTCTGACTGTTGGGCTGAGCCGCACGCTTTAAACTTATAAGTACATAAATACCGTGTATTTTCATGTTGCGAGCTTTCAGAGGCAAAGCGCGGACTGTCAGAAGGGACCTATAAAATATTATATCAGAAGAAATGATCTGACACCCAGTTTTGGTAAATTTTTATGTTTGCATCTGAGGCATCTGTTACAAACATGCATCAAAAATGCATCGTGTTTAGGCTAAAGGCAATTGAAGCTCCTTAAGCCATGCTGCTGATCTTGCATGTTTTTTTAAGTTCCCAACAACTTATCTAACACTGACCTCTTTAAAAAGGTTCATGAAGCGCGGACCAAAGCGCCAAGGCTTGTGGCGGTGACACTGCAGAGAGCTGACGGTCATCTGAGTGGCCCGCTGGGACGCGACAGCAACCATGTACACGGCATCATACATCAAAGCTGCGTCTGTCTGTAGAGGATGTAGTGAGAGAAAGTTGCTTTTTTGTGTAATAAAATTGCACTTAAATGTCAGTTGTAAACAGCTAAACTATGAAACCAAGAGAGCAGGTTTTGCAGATAAAAATGCTCTAAAAACTCTAAATGTTCCTCTGGGAAAATGTGCAAAACATATAATGTTTGGCTATAACGATGAAATGAATATAACTGAGAAAATCAGCATTTCAATTCTTACTAAGCTTACAAAAGCATTACACGTTAGCTCATACTTTTTTGTTTGCAACTGTATGATGCAGCTTATAGAACAGATGTGGCTTCTTGCAGGTGCAGGTGTTTGTTATGTAAAATAACAGCAACAGGGCTTACGGTCATGACTCCATCCATCAGACCACTTTCTTGTTTGGGACCCTGAAGTCTTTCCATGGCCCACCTGTCCATTGTAGATGCGACCCAAGGGTCATCAATGTTCAGCAGTCTAAAACCAGTCATGTTGACCCCGCTATAGCGGTATGGCTCGAGATCCAAGGCATATAAATCCTGCAAGAGATGCAAGATGAAGGTAAAGGTGCAAGATGGCAGGAAGGATGTGCTGTTATGTACAAATGTAAGGACTGGTTCAAGGTGTAACCAGTAAATTTAAAAAGCCAGTTAAAGGAAAAATGAATACGCAGATCTTTATTTTACTTATTTGCCTACTATCACCTTAAAAAACTATAATAAAGCTTCAGCTGTGCATTTTTCTAACTCACCAAAGTTGTAAAGAAAAAATGGTAGTACTCTGTCATCATTCCCATTGATGAAAGCTGCAACAAAGGAAAAAATAAAGTAAGAAAAAGAAACTGCCAAACAATTTTTTTTTTTAAATATCATGACTTCTCCAGTGCTACAGCTAATGTAGGAGCTTGATAACAAAGTAATTTGGCAGGTCATTTCTCTCTTGCACAGCACGTCAAACATATCATGCATTTTCTTTAAGAGTATTCATCAAATTTAACAGTCTTTAGGTATGAATTAAATAGCTGAATTCCCCGAAGCTGAATAAAAAGGACAATAAAAGTTTTTCTAAGTTTCTGTTTCTGTAAGATTGACACCAAAACCTATCTGGATAAAAAAAAGAAACAAATTGATTATTACTTAATAATAGACAATGGATACAGAAACAACACAAGCGAAAAATACAAATGTAGTGTGAGAAACCCAGCAAGTACCAGGACAGCAGAAATGGGTTGTTATTAAATATGCAAGACGATCTCAGCTCTCTGTATGTAGGAATCAGTGCACGGGGCACCGTCCCATCACCTGTCCCCCAAAAGATAAATAAATGTGGTGTAAAATCCGTGGTCTAACCAAATAAACTACTTAAATGAATCTTAGATAAAGTACTGCACAGACCTGCTTAAGGAGCTCAGCAGCCATGCGGTAGGAGCAATCAAAAAGAATAAAAAACTCTTTGTCTTTCTTCAGTTCCTTAAGCAGCGGTCGAGCATCCTGGTTACCCGGCGTCAGCTGGCGGATCTTGATCTTCAAGTTGAACTTTGCTGGCGCTTTGATCAATTCTTGCATCCGCATCAGACCTTTTAAAAAAAGGTAAAAACAGTAAATTATACTTTCCCCCTCATTAATTCTAATTGTTACTTCCTTCTTGTGGTCAGATACAAAACATACACTACATCATTTTAGCTTCTCCCCAGACTGATCGCTATTCTGTTACATAAGCTGGACGCACGCCTTGCTTTCCTGTAGCCTGAACGTGTACATGCACAATAGAGTGTAAATGGGCAGGTGTGTGTTTATGTGACATTTCAGGAAGAATAAATCTTTGTAAAATCTATAAGCTATGACATTTTAGCAACAGAATTTCATATTCTCTGTGTTGTGGGCAGTTGCTGTTTATGGGAAACCGCAGGATGTGGAGGCTATCAGTGTTGTGGTCTGGATGTCTGCAGTTGGAAGTCAGAGGGCAGGAACATTGGCAGCTGTCTGATATGAGGCCCTGGTGCCCTGTCACAGATTGGGTTCACTGGCCAACGCGATGGAGGTGACTTTGTAAGACAGAATTTTATTTTGTAATTACGACCATGACATATGAATATGTTGCCAGGTCCAGAAAACGCCTGCTAGCTCCTTTGACCTCTTATCCCTCTCAGTTCTTCACTTTAAATGCCATGCCATTTTAAGGTTGACAACCAGCCTTACAGGAGGAAATAAAATCAAAGATAAAATGCTGTCTTCAGTCAAATATTATTAAAACACTGAACTTGAAACTTAAAATGATGTTTTTTTGTTTTTAAACAAATATCTATATTCATATTTTACAGCTGGATGATAAATGTTTATAGCACTTCTGGTTATTGTCACGTGGTGTAAAAGTTATTTTTCAAAGTCATAATGGAAATAAGATATTGTGAGCGATTAATCACTGAGGTGCAGTCAAGCAGAAACGTCCAGGGCAAAAAAATAAACAAATTACATAAAATACATGCACACATACATAACTCATGGCCCAAGCTCCAAATACTAAAATACTGCAGTTACTCAAACGGACACTTGCAGGTGTTTCCATTAGCAAGGACCATTATGGCAGAATTATAAATATTCATAGTCAGGTGCATACAGGACTTTTGGTCACTAAAGTTATTTGAAAAGCAGTTGTTTTTCTTTTCTTCAAACTCACCAATTATATAAAGTATTTGTATCATATATCAGTATTAGGGAGTGGCTGCAATGACTTAGCACACTTAGTCTCTGCTAATTTGAGTCACTGAACAGTGTAGGTTAGGTTTTTGAGGGTTTTTTGGCTTTTGGCTCTAAAGAATTAGGTGATGATGCCCAAAAAGAGAAAACTGAGAATTTAAAATGGGACTTTGTGCAGCAACAGGTAACATCACAATGACTGTGGCTGTTGTTAGCTCAGTAGAATTGGCTAATCTTCTTCTTGAGCATACTGATTTATTGCATACAGATAAACTGAAAAATAGTGAAATAGCTTTGACAAATTCACTTAATCCAAAACCACCTGACTGTATCTTAAAAGTGCTCTCTTTGACCTTCTTCACATTTGAATCCTTGAAGTAATGTATTAATCAAGTGCTTGTGAATCAATTTTAAAAGCTACAACAGCTAACAGAGCCTACCTGTGCTGTCCTCATAGACCACCGTTAGCTTCCTCCATTTGAAGAACGTAACTACATCCAGGATGGCCCTGGCAATAGCGGTGTACTCCGGATACAGGTTGATGAAAAAGGTGTCTTTGTTGTCCACCGATGGATGTTTCCATCGTGTTTGTATGTGAGGGACTTCCAGAGCATTGCAGATAGATTGAACAGCACTAACCGAGGAGCTGTGAGAGGGGCCAAACACAGCAACCACCCCAAGAGCGAGCTGGTCACACACTAGTGGAAAAAAACAGAACAGCAGAAAAGCAGCTGGATGGATTTGATTGTTGCAATCAGATGATTCTTGATTACAGGTGAAGACTGTTGATGTGCTTCCAAATTCAAGTGTTAAAATGGTTATGTAATTTAAAGGGATAGCATTAGACTTTGATTTAAAAAGTAAGTTGTCTTCCAGCTACAGGACAGAATTATAGCTTGCTATTATTTTCATTGTGATCACAAGTAAATGGTCAAAAAAACATGTCCGTCTTAACCAGATTCTTAACCAGAAGCTAGTGGTTCTTTATGTGCTTGATAAATACTGAATCTACCAGTAACGTTTCATTTTTGGATTTTGTGGAAAACGTATGCATTTAAACTAGTTAAAGTCAGCGTTTTAGAAAAACTCCCTACCTCTCCTGGAAGCCTCAAAGCCATCAAAGAGGTTGATCCTCTGAATGTCATAGGTAAGAGTGGTGTTGGGCATCAGGGTCTTGTTGCGGTTTATGTTGTTAACAGCAAACTTGAAGGCCAGCTCGTCCGTACTCACTAACTCGCTCTCTCGGGTCTCAAAAATCCCACCTGAACATTGAGACAGACGAGAAGGTTAAAAAGAAATCATTTGTGTTGAGATCAGGAGACAGCTGCAAAAGACCGCACCTAGTGCATACGTGTTCTGCAACAAACCACTTTTACTGCACTGAGTTTCACTTTATTTTACTTGATCAAACATAGGAAACCACCACCAGAGGAGCAAACATCATGACCTCAGTCAGCAGCTGAAGTGAATTAAAGTCAAGATGTGCTTTGTTCTCGGTAACAGCTTCATTAAAGATGTTATATAGATGAGATGCAATGCCAGTAGGACTAGAAAAAACAATTTTGGCATTATAAGCACTTAATAACATTATCATCACAATATTATCAGCTTTTCAAGCTGTTAAAAATGTTAATAAGTCATTAATATTCATCCAGTCTTGGTAGTAGAAGATAGGATAATAACAATAATAATAATAATAATAATAATAATAATAATAATAATAATAATAATAATAAT